CCCTGGAAAGGTGAGCACCCATCCCCCCCACTCCCCACCCCCACCCCCAGCATCTGTGTATGCCTAAGCAGGTGCTTTAATCCACTGAGTTATTTGGCCAGCCCTGAAGGCTTTTTTTTTTTGGCTGACTCATGGTGCCTTAAGGGCGGGTCTGGTGTGGCCTGGGAGCTGGAGATGGAACCAGGGTTCCGATGCCTGACTGAGTTTGCCCAAGCAGGCCCTTTAAACAACTGGGCTAACCCACAAACCCCCTCAGGCAGTGAATTCTGCACAAAGCCACAGAATGGAAACACCAGGGAGGACTCTGAATCCTGCCCTGCATGGGAATTTTGGGGGACTTTTGACCAAAGGAGAGCAGCTGACAATAAGTCAACACTTTGCATATGTGGGAACTCCTACATTCATTGGTGCATCTGAAAGAACCTGGAAAAGAGAGGCAGGGTGGAACAGCTGGGCTGGAGGGCTGCTGACCTAAGCCCAGGCGTGTCCATTGAGGATATTTTCTGTGCCATCTGCTTATCAGTTTGTGCTCATCCTCTGGCTTCATTCAATTACAGTCCCCCAAGGAAAAGCACCGATCCATTAACAGGTTACCTAATGTGAGAAGCAGATATTAGAGGATTAATGGTGACCCAGTTAGAGACCAGGTTCTTGCCTGGAATGATCTTCCTGAAGAAGAGACAGTGCAATAAGGGACAAATGAGGGGCTGGGAAATAACTTTCAAGTCTGTTGACCAAGACCACTGCACACAGTATTGTTTCTCTCACTTTCTTCTTTCCTGTAAGGCCCATTCAAAAGGGTTAGAATCATGTCATCTGACGCCGGTGGCTCACAATAATGCCACAGCTTTTCCTGGACCCTGAAAATGACAGGATCTTAAGCTGCTGAGTCCCATTTTCATCATGTGCCTGATTTCTGCTGCCTGACTTTATGTCCTTCCAAAGATAGGGACCTCCTGACTCCATGGATGGCTGCTTCCATGTACCAGGGACTCTTGAGTACTACACTTATTTCTTCTTTGATGTATGGAGCTAAAGTCCCTCTCCTTTGAGGGCCACAAGGGACAAGGCAGCCTCCATTCCCAGGGTCCATCCTGAGAAGACACTAATGATGCCCCTCTTATCGCTGTCCCTAGTCTGCGTGCGTCTGGGACAAATGTGTTCCTGTTGATCTGTCCCTTGAGATGAACCTCCAGATCCTTACACTTCTGGTGTTGGCAGTTTGTAATCTTATATCAGTCCAGTGGCATCTCGTGTAATGAGTGGTAGTGGTGCCCCTATTTTTGCTACTTGGTAGTGGTAGTGGTGCCCCTATTTTTGCTGCTGGGGATTGAACTATGCCACTGAGCTATCTCCTAGGCCTGGTGCCCCTATTTTACTAACAGGTAATATATCTAAGGACCAGGCAGGAGGTATTGGCACAGGGACCAAACTCACATGGCAAGTGAGAAGCAAAGCCAGGCCCCAGCTTTGGCTTCCTAAGCTGGTGACATTATCTCTGCGCTGTCTCCAAATGGGGGATCACTTCCCTAAAGTCTTAAGCACATTTCAATAACACAATCATCCTTAAGTGCTAAAATCCAGTAAGTGTGATGGGAAAACTGGAATGTCCGGGTCAGAGAATCAGCCAGGCTTTCCAAGAGGAGGCGGCAGTTGAACAGAGCCAGGCCAAGGTAGGCAGAGGAAACTCTCTCGCACAGTCACAGAGGAGGGCAGGAGCTGGCAGGCAGCGACAGCCTGAGCGAGTCCGCACCGTGCTGAGAGCATGGCCCTTCAGCACTGGCTGAGGCCCGGGCAGCGACAGGTCCCTCGGGCCTCCACACCTGAGCCGCCTCTGTGCCCAGCCCCGCAGGCGGGCAGCGTGGCCCACTCAGCTCCTTTCTGCCCAGCGGTTGTACAAAGGCAGCACTCAGCCCCTGGCACACTCTCAACACATCTTCTTGGAGCCTCCAGGTCCCTAAGTGGGGGCCTCCCACTAGCACCCTTTGTAACCTCATCACAAAGGGCCTGAGTGGCTAGGGTGGCTGGGAACACCACACACCCTGAGGCGTCACAGCTTCACAGCCCTGAAGAGGACCACTGTTCCCACAGGCCCAGGACTCTATTTTCTCTTTTTTTAATTATTTATTTATTTTTGGTTGGTTGTTTGTTTCTTCCTCAGGGCAAATTCCACTGCCAACTCTATTTTTAGTAACTTGCAAGCAGTACAGCCATTCACCCAGGGGCCACTTGGGGCACTGAGGGGACCCCAGAGTTGGCCCCAGTCAGAATACTGTTCTTTCTCCTTGGCCGGACCTAATTCCCTTTCTGTCCCATCAGTCCCCAGCCTTCAGGGGAGGCCAAGCTTTGGTCAGGGTGAGGACTGTGTAGTGGGGAAGGACTCTGGAAGTGACTCCGGCCTTGCTCGGCCCTGCTGCTTCTGTAACACCTCCCCGCACCCGGGGCCCCAGCTTCCTTTCCCTGGTGAGGAAGCAGAACCTGAGCCCTCCTTCCTCATGGTGCTGGGAGGTTCTGCCAGGCCCCAGACCGCACAGGGTGGAGCAAGCCAGTGTGACCTCCAGCGAACCGTCTGCTCGGTTTCCCCGTCCCTATTAAAGTGAAGTGAATCCATCCCTACCTGCCACAGAGAACTGTCACAGGAACCCCTGGGCTAACGTGCAAAGTGCTTTGGTCACTGGGCACAATGGCTCATGCCTGTAATCCCAGGAGGGGATGTATGAGGCTGAGGCAAGAGGATCACCCTAAGTTTGAGGCCAGCCCGGGCTGCATAGTGAGACCCTATCTCAAAAAACAAAAACAAAACAAAGTCCCCAAGGCTTTGCTTCTCTCTAATTAGATGTTTTAGGGACTTACAGTGATGTTCAGGAATGTTCCTTGTCTGTCAGAGAAAACAAAGTCCTGTCAGATCAGTTAAGAGTTTGAGATTGAAGGTTAAACAAGAAGCATGTATTGGCGGAGCTGGGGAGGCAGCGGCAAGAGACCGTGGTGTGACTTAATCCATAGGCCACTCCGCGACTCACAGCTAATGTGTCTTGAACACTGTGTTACACACACACAAAAAAAAGTCTGCTGGAAAGATAGCTACATCCTCCTGCTGGGAACCTGTGCATGATCATCTCGCAGGGTTATGTTCATTCACTAGGGCCAGACTAGGTGGTGCGGACAGCACGGTATTGGCAGGGCTGATGTCTCCCCAGTATCTCTTATTTGATTTGTAGATGGCCATCTTCTCCTGTGCTGCCAGCTGGTCTCCACGTCCACATTTCTTCTTCTAAAGACACCAGTCCTATTAGATTAAGGCCCACCTGTAACAACCCCCTTTTAACTTAATGAGCTCTGTAAAGGCCCTGTTGCCACATTTGGAGGGACGGGGTGAGGTTTAGAACTTCGACACAGAAATGGGGGCACACTCAGCTCACGACAAGGGCAAGAGACCATAGTGTGACTAAAGGAACAATCTTGAGACTGAAAGATAACCTGGGACTCTCTAGGTGAACCCCGTATGAGCACGAAGGCCCCTGTAAGGGGCAAACGAGAGCCAGCAGCAGATTAGAAGATGCTGTGCTCCTGGCTTTGAAGCTGGAGGAAGGGACCCCAAGCCAAGGGAAGCAGGCAGCCACTAGGAGCTGGAAACGCAGGAAAACAGATCCTCCCCTCAAGCTCCAGAGGGAACACAGTCCTCCTGGCCCCTTGGTTTTAGGACTTCTGGCCTCCAGAACTGTAAAATAATAAATATGTAGTGCTTTAAACCGTTAAGTGCTTGGCATTTTGTTAGAGCCACAATAGGTCACTAATACTAGTACTTCCTTGGCCTCATTTCATCCCCACGATCCCTCCCAAAGGGGCAGTACTCTTACCACCCTTGCTTTGCAGGTGAGGAAACTAAGACTGAGACATTAATGACTCTCCCCCAGGGCCATGTGTCTGAGGTGTGAAGTGACAGAAACAGGCTCTAAACCCCAACTGGCTGGCTCTGTGACCCGCACCCCTAACCTGCATACACTAAAGAATCAGGAACTACTGATACATCAGGCAGCCTGGCTGGCCACCAAGGCCTTGGAAGGCCTCTCAAGTCACCCCATCCATCCTCCATCAGCTCACCAGCCCACACCGGCGACACATCTTAGTTAGCAGTACCCAGACACCTGTGCCACAGACAGTCACCAATTACATACACAGGGGAGGCCCTGCTGCCGAGGATGCAGCCCTCCATGCGGGTGATTCCTGGAAGGCCACCACTGTTAGCTTGGCCTTTCACCATCTGTCTCCGATGATTCACAACAAGCATCCACAGAGCCTGCCCATTAGCTCAGTTGTTTAAGTGCCTGCTCAAGCAAAGCAGTCAGGCTCAGGATTCTGTGGTTGGATCTGATCCCTGGATCCTCAAGCTTTACTAGATCTGCCCTTAAGGCATCCTGAGCCAGCAGACAAAAAACAACAACAACATCAAATCAAGCATCCACCTTTAGAACCACAGTGGATTTGAATCACGCACATTTAAGGAGCTGTAGGCCAGGGCCAGGCACCCAGCGCTCAGATCCACACCCAGTGTCAGGCCTCTCTGTTCCTACATGGCATGGAGAGCTCCCTGTGTGGAGAGGCCTCATGATCACTGGCTTCCCAAATCCCACTCCCCCTGAAACATCTGTTTCCCATTCTTCGTAAGGAACCCTTGTCCCCAAAGCAGTAGAGTGAGCTGTGCTCCGTGTCCCAAACCAATTGTACTCAGCAAGCCTACAGGCCTCTGCTTGTTTGATTTGTAGAGAGGAATAACTGGTGTGGTTTTGTATTTGTTCAGCCCGAGAGACCTCTGTCCTCTCCTCCTTTTGTCCACCTCCTCTCCCATTTTGCCTCCATCGCATCATTTTTCCAAAACAAAATAACAAAGCTCTCATATAATCAAGTTATTATTTTCGAGCAATGACATTGATTCATTGTAATTGTACAGCTTAATGAACCCTGTCTAGCATCTATAGTCACGTGACCACCACTGCAGTCAAGATGACAAATATTTTTGCCCCAAATGAAGCTACTTTGTGTCCTTGCTCAGCCACCTTACCCCAGCCTCGCAGCACCAGGCAACTGCGGATCTACTTTGGGTCACTATCATTGTGCCTTTTCTAGAAATGCTTGCTTCAGAATGGAATCAGAATATGTAATCTTTTGTGTTTGACTTCTTTGATTTAACATAATCTTGTGGAGGCTCACCCATGCAATTGTGTATATTTAATTCCTTTTAATTGTCAAGTGCTGTGTTCTCTAGTACAGATCTACTGCAGTTTGTTTATCCACTCACCACTGACTACAGTGGGTTGCTTACAGTCTGGGGCTGTTAGGAATAGAGTTGTGGGAGCATTTCTATCTGCATCTCTTTGTGGACATATGTTTTCATTTCTCTTGGGTCAATTTCTGAGAGTGAAATGTGTGGGTTATATGGCAACCTTATAAGTATGGTTTGTAAGTTATTTTAGAAGCATGGCTTAACTTCACAAGATACACCCATAGGGTTTCCAAAGCATCTGTAGCATTTTGCATTTCCACCAGCAATATGGGAGAATTCCCAGTGCGACTGTTTTCATTGTAGCTGTTCTAGTGAGTAGATAGTGGGGTTTCCCTGTGGGTATAGCTAATATTTCTCTGGTGGCTGGTGATAGTAAGCATTATTATGTAGGCTGATTAGCCACCCCTTTGTCTCCTTTCATAAAGTATCTGCTCAGGGAACTGTGGGAGACCTGGCCTGACTGAAATAGCAGTGCTGCTCAGGATGACAGCAGGGGACTCTGGCCTTGTTTTGAAGAAAGGTCACAAAAGGGCCAAGCCTGAAAGGGTGGAAAAGCATCATCAGGCAGAGGGAGCAGCATGTGCCCAGTCATGTGCCCACTTCCACTTCTGCCCTGGTGGATCTTGGTGCTTTGCAGGGAGCCCTAGGTGGCCATATGGATCCCCAGAGGACCCAGTGACATGGTTGTTATTTCCAGGTTCATCCTGAGGTGGCCAAGGCTGGAGTCGAGTGTCCTTTTGCAGGTGTTGGTTGCTCCTTCAAGGTAAGTGTGGGCAAAAGGGTCTGTCTACTGCAGTCCCAGACCTCTGGGTCACCCCCATCCAACAGCTTCCCATAACATGAAGCTTCCCTCTTGGTGACCTTTGTACCAGTGACTTCCAGAGCCATTGATCCCACCATTAGTCATGATAGTATTCAGGGAAATTTTTGTTTTTGTTTTGTGGTACTAGAAAATTGAACCCAGGACATTCACTGCACTAGCTCCTACAATTTAATTTCGACTTTTTGAGATAGGGTCTCATAAGTTGCTAAGTTGCCCAGGCTGGGCTCAAACTTGTGATCTACCTGCCTCAGCCTCCCAGAGTGCTGGCAAAGCAGTTAGTTGAGTTTGTGACTTAAGCCTTGGTGTTTAGTTATTAAAGCAACCCCTGTGCCTCTCTCCATGGTCCTGAATCATCACTGAGCTCAAGGCCAGGGCAGGGTTATTGCTCTAGAGGCTGGGATTCCTGTGGCTCAGTGTGGGTATGTCTGATGCCAGGTCATCTGGTCCCTTCCACTGTGCAGAGAGCCACTTGTCTTTGCTAGTAAAAAGGGTCTGATGTCCCTTGGCAACCTTTAGTGCCAGGGCTCTCCACTGTCCTCCCTCCACCTCTCTTCTCACTAGTGGTTCTGCTGTCTTGGCAGGGCAACCCACCATCCATACAGGAGCATGAGGCCACATTCCAGGCCACCCACCTGAGTCTGCTGCTGGGGTTCATGAAACAGTGGAAAGCCCAGCTGAGCTCGGGCACAGGTTCTGGACCCACAGCCTTGGAACGGAATCTATCAGACCTGCAGCTGCAGGCAGCTGTGGAGGTGGCAGGGGACCTGGAGGTGGATTGCTACCGAGCTCCCTGCTCTGAGAGCCAAGATGAGCTGGCCCTGCAGCAGTTCATGAAGGAGAAGCTACTGGCTGAGCTGGAGGAGAAGCTGCGTGTGTTTGAGAACATTGTTGCTGTCCTCAACAAGGAGGTGGAGGCCTCCCACCTGGCCTTGGCCACCTCCATCCACCAGAGCCAGCTGGACCGCGAGCGCATCCTGAGCCTGGAGCAGAGGGTGAGTGGGAGAGGCAAGTTTTCCCTGGAGACCAATTCAGGGAGCCCACTTGACCCTGTCTAGCCCCCAAAGCAGTAGTCCAGCCTTCCTCCTAATCAGTCAGCCTGCTCAGGGCAGCCACTCCCCACCAAAATTACCTCCCTGGGCCCTAAGACTCTCTATGACGAACCTTGGGTCAAGAAGCTCCCATCCAGGTCAACCCCTTGCCTTGACCAGTGCTTTAGTCCCTTTGCTCGAGCTTCTCCTGGGATAGGACACTCCCTGCTAAGACAGCTCTTTCCATTGCTGGACATCTTTCACTATTAGAAAGATCTTCTTTCAACTAAGCCAAAATTTCCATGGCAACCCTTTAGAGATGGACAAGCAGTGATTCCATCCTGCCCCAGTCCTTTAGACCAAATGTTCAGTATCTTCTTCAGGGCATGCTCTTGCTTACTGGCCTCGTCTCTGTAAAGGATTCCCTATTTTTGGAGGCTAAGTCCAGATAATCCACTTACCCAATAGGTCTTGGTTCAACAGAACTGTCCTTTATGCCATTTTCCAAATGTAGCCATTCACCATGCACACGATGCTTTCTGCAGCAACACTGCATCATACTGAGTTAGGTTTATGTTTTAGTTCCAGCTCCATCACTAATTTGCTGGGTAGAGCTGAGCAAGTCACTTTCTCTCTCGGGACCTCAGCTCCCCCAGCAGTAAGATTAGGGCTTACATTTTCCTGAAGGAGACTCATTTCCATTCCTGACTCCCCTTAACCTGTGCACACCCAAGACTAAAGTTGTAGTCTTTCAAATCTCACCAGGAAAACCTAGGAGGACCAGATACAGTTCAGATGGCCAGGTAAAGCCTTTAGTTATATAGCTCACCCAGTAAAAGGTAGGCCCCATGAGGGCAGCAGTGTGTCATGTTCCCACCCACACATTTCGTGGCTCTGCTTTTACAGGCCAGATACCAGGCAAAGCACGGAAGCAAATGAAGTGAGTACAGGTCAGTCTCATGGTAGGGGAGAGCAAATGGTAGGAAAGATGTACAACCACAGGAAAGCTCTAGGGGAACATGGACCAGTGGAGCTAAGGCCGTGGTTGAAGTCTTCTTCTCGCAGGAGGGACTCTATGAGCTAGATTCTTATTGAGTGAACAGCAGTTGGCTAGTAGAGAAGGAGCTCCAGGCAGGGCGTAGCACACACAGTCGCAGACCCATGCGCCTTTTGGGCAAATCTATCTCCGGGCCTTGCGACCCCACCTCATCCCTGAGCTGGGTTCTGGTGTCCCTGTTTGAGTGGGTTTCCTTGCAGGTGATGGAGTTGCAGCAGACCCTGGCCCAGAAAGACCAGGCATTAGGGAAGCTGGAGCAGAGCCTGCGCCTCATGGAGGAGGCCTCCTTCGATGGCACCTTTGTGTGGAAGATCACCAATGTCACCAGGCGATGCCATGAGTCTGCTTGTGGCAGGACCATCAGCCTTTTCTCCCCAGGTAACACCTCACGAGGGCACAGAGACCAGATGGGGGAAGGCAGGTCACTCTGGGTCCAGAAAACAAGCACAGGGAACAGCTGGCACTGGGACAACATGTTAAGTCCAAGTTAGGCCAGTGTCCATCCCAACCACCTATTGAAACCTGGATTTGTGTTGGGACCATGGGGACGGAGGGCAAACTGTGCTAACCCAGGGCTCTAACCCACACAGCAGTGAGCTCCTTGGCCCCAGGGAAGCCCTTTCTGCTCCCTGAATGGCAGCACACATCACAAATAGAAAGGTATGGTACATTGCTATCTGCTTCAGGAGGCTACCAGAGCCAAAGGGGGTGTAGGTGAGTGAGATGTAGGTGGTGGCTTTCACAGGGGAATATGTGGGATCCATGTCCTCACGAGCTATCAGTCTGCAGTTAGGTGAGTACAGGACTGAGTCAGAGTTCCATGTACTTGTGTACAATTGTGAGCAGCCTGTGAATGTGTATTGTAAGCTGGGGAAGTACTTGGGAAATGTTTTTCTAAACTGATATGTATTAATGCAACAGTGCTTATGTTTGTGTATAAAACACTGTCTCTCCTTCACACATGCACACAGCTGGGGCTTCACTTAAATAAACTGAACTCCAAGCAGGCCAGGTCCTTACCCAGAAGCCAGCTGCAGATACAGGCTCAGCCTTCAGTACTTGCCCCCACCTGTCTAAGTAAATAGGTCCAGGGGGAGGAGGGCAGGAAGGTGGAGTTCTGCCAGCCCTGCTGGGCTTCAGCCCTTCTGAGCTCGTCTGACTCTGATGAACCCAAGACCACCTGAGCTGGCATCATGAAGAAGTGGCAGAGTTTGCCCAAGTCCAGAGCAGCGAAGCTTCCCCAAGTCGGCCTCTTGTGGAGATGGCCCTCTTCAGGGGTGGCCACACCTCCCGCCCACAGACTGTTCCTCCTGGAACCTCTGCACAGAAGGAAGAGCAAGCAGTCCCCCCAGCTTCCTGTTCCACCAACACGTAATGGGCAGAGATGAGTCAGCCTGGCAACACCTTCTTCCACTCCTTCCCTGCCCAACCCTCATACCCTATCCCCACCCAGGGAACTGTCTCCAGCATGTGACCATTGTCAGAACTCAAAAGGGCAACCTTCTCAGCTGCCCAAGGAGAGAGCCCCATTGGTTCATGTGCTTAGTCATCAGCAGTGATTTATTTGTCCCTGGGGGCCTTTGCCAGCCACATTCCCTTCCCAGGATCAGCAATAAAATTAGGCTGAGGGAATGGAGTGGTCTCATAGTGTGGCCCCTTGGTATCTCCTGTGGACTTGCTAGGAATGCAGATTCTCCATCCTCCCCCACCCCCCACTGAACCAGAAACCCTGAGAATGGGGCCCATCTGTGAGCCCAAAGGACAGTTGACAACCACTGGGCTAGGTAATCTCCAAAAGCTCCCTGCCTATTCTGTACTGTATGGAGAAGGAAGGTGGGGTCCAGCCCCTGCTGTACTAGATGTGAGCCACAGGCCACAGGTGTGCCTGCCAGCGCACCCCAGTCTCCTCCTCCGTGTGATCAGGGCTGTCCCACTCTATCCCGGCTGTGCTGACTCTGCCCCCACTTTGCAGCTTTCTACACTGCCAAGTACGGCTACAAGTTGTGCCTACGCCTGTACCTAAATGGGGATGGCTCCGGCAAGAGGACCCACCTGTCGCTTTTCATCGTGATCATGAAAGGGGAGTATGATGCTCTGCTGCCGTGGCCCTTCCGGAACAAGGTGCGGGCTGGGACGGGGTGAGGAGGTGAGGTGTAGCGAGGGCAGCGTGGGAACCTGGGTTATAGTCCTGGTTCATGAATTGGCTGTGTAACTCAGGCAAGTCCCCGCTCTCCTTGCTGTAGCAACTTCCCCTTTATACAACAAGAATCTGAGTTCAGATCTAGCAGCCTAGAGAGCAGGCACTGAAACCTCTGGAATAAAGCATGTGAAGGGCTTGCAGAAGTGGAATCCACAGGTAGAGTGGATAAGGAGGGCTTCCTGGAAGAGATGGTATGAGGCCAGCCTGATCCTGCAGGACCTCAGGAAGGGAAGGAGACAAATGCCTCATACTCCATTCACTCCTAGCCCCTGTCCATTCTAAATACCCCAAGTCCAGGACATGGACCACACCATGTGCCAGCAGAGATCTGGAACAAAAGGAGCTCCAATTCCTACTGCTGGGATGGAGAATGGGACAGTCCCTTAGGAAACAGTTTAGTGATTCCTTATAAAGCTAAATATACTCTTACATCTGATCTAGCAGTTTCATGCCTCCTATTTACCCTAAACTTGAAAATTCATGTCCACACCAAAGGTTAAAAAAAACAACAACCTTGGGCTGGTGAGATGGCTCAGTGGTCTGGAGCACCTACTTAGAACAAGCTTAGCAAAGCAGAAGGGACCGCAGTTCAATCCCCCAGCACCACATGCCAGCCAGCCCCGCCCCCTGGTGGGCTGAGCTGGCCACACACACACACACACACACACACAAATAAATAAATATTAAAAAAAAAAAACAACAACCTTTGTGCATGAGTGTTTATAGTGACTTTATTCATAACTGCCAAAATCTGAATCAGTCAAGATGCTACCACTTCTGATAGGTGGATGGATAAACTGTTCTTCTTCTACATAATTGCCTATTATTAGGTAATCAAAGGAATCAAACTATGAAGCCACAGAAAGATGTGGAGGATCCCAAACTGAGTTTGATGAAGCGAACAAAGCCAGTCTTAAAAGCCAGTCATGGCTTTTATGAGTCCTACTATATGATATTCTGATGAAAAAGGCAAACCTACAAAGACGGTAGAAAGAGCTGTGGTTTCCAGGGAGTGGAAGAGAAAGAAGAAGGAGTACAGGGATCGCCAAAAATAGGGCAGTGAAACTCTTCAGTATGATACTGCAGTAGTGAATGTGTGTCCTTATACGGTTATCAAAACTCAGAGTGAACACCACCAAGAATAAGCCTTAATATAAACCATGAACTTAAATGACAAAGATGTATCAGTGCAAGTTGATCAGCTGTAACAGAGACCCCCCACACACACACACACACAGGATGCTGATGGTGGGAAAGGTGGTGCATGTAGGGGATGGGCCATGTAGAAACCCTTATTTCCTACTCATTTTTTCTGTTATCTAAAACTACTCTAAAAAAATAAAGGCTACTAAAATTTTTAAGGGAGAGCTGGGAAGGGGAGGCTTTCCCTGCAGGTAACAACAGCATCGGGGAAGGGTGTCAAGCCTGCAAGCTTCAGCTGTGGTGGGAAATAGGTGGGTGGGCAAGCCAGGAGGGTCTGAGTAGGCCTCAGTGGGCAGCTGCTCCCATATGTGCTGGGGACATTTTGCTTTCTGGTCTGGGGATGGAATGCAAGACCTTGTGTACGGCAGGCATGTGCTCTACCATGAGATACAGCCATCTAGGGATGCTGTAACAATACCTGGGGCTGGGGCTCACCCCTGTGAATGGTGAGGCCAAGGCATCCAGGCTTTTGCGCCTCCTCTGGGGATTCTCAATGCAGCCAAGTTTAAGAACGACTTCAGTAGCAAAGAGGGAGCAACCTCAGTTCCTGGTGGGTAATTTAGGACATGTGCCAGGGAAGGGGCTTGTGTTATGGTCAGATGACCAGTTTGTTAGGGGTACGTGCATGTGCTGTATGTGCTCTGTGTGTGCCAGTGTGGTTAACAGTGCATCAAGTGACAGGAGAAGGCCTGTCTGTTCTCACCCAAGGCCTGGCCCTGGGAGATTCTAGTTGTAGAACCCATGTAGGTAACTGAGTCCCCTCTTTGTACTTTAGCTCCCAACAGCTAGTCAAGCTTGACTGTGACATCCGAACTCCCACCCATCCTACAGGGAAAGCCAGCTGGTCCTAATCAGAGGCCACCTCTGAAACCCGATCAGAGTAGCAGGTGCCTCTGATTACAGGGGTCATGCACACCATAGGTATGGTCCCTAAATAGTTTCTTTGGTTCCTGGTCAATCTGAGCTTAGGGTACACACAGCTGATGGGTACACAGCCCTCTGAGCCTGCATGTTGAGGCTCTAAGTCTGCGTGTTGCTGCCTGGGACTTGATCTCCGATCTGCCTCTGCCCTGCAGGTCACCTTCATGCTGCTGGACCAGAACAACCGTGAACATGCCATCGATGCCTTCCGGCCCGATCTGAGCTCAGCATCCTTCCAGCGGCCCCAGAGTGAAACCAACGTGGCTAGCGGCTGTCCACTGTTCTTCCCTCTCAGCAAGCTGCAGTCACCCAAGCATGCCTATGTGAAGGATGACACCATGTTCCTCAAGTGCATCGTGGAGACCAGCACTTAGGGCAGCAGGGCCTCCTGAGGGAGCCCCAACCCAGACCGGGGACTCAGCAGGCTGACTGATACCCTTCCCTTGTGCCCACCATCAGAAAGCAGGACAGGCAGCTTGGCTGTGGCTTCTGGCAGCATGGCAGGACCTTGGGCTGGGCCAAAAGGGCAAAGGGGTTCGTAGGGGGCAGGGAGAATTGCTGTCCTCAGCACAGGACACACAACACAGGGCACCAGTGAGCCTCTCAGCCCCGAAGGTTGGGCGGAAAGGCTGAACCAGGCAGGGGTGGGGTGCAGGCCTATAATCCCAGCACTCTGGAAGGTTGAGGCAGGAGGACTGCAATTTCTGCATAGCATGGGCTAGTTACTCAGTGAGATCCTGTCTCAAAACTAAAACAATAAACAAAAGAGGGGACTGGGGATGTACCTTAAAGGCTTCAGGTTCAACCCCCAAGTACTGCAAAAAACAATGGGGAGAGACTGGTTTGGGCCTGAGATATAGTGAGCTAGAGCTTTGGGCCTGAGCAGAGAGGTTCTAGGATAGAAGGGTCTGCAGGGCCTTAGTGGGGACCCACCAAGAACGTGCCCTAGCCCTGCTGCAGCTCGGTGCACAGCAAGGATGGAGAAAGATGGCGCGGCTTTTCTATATTTAAAAGCTGTCCTTTTAAATATAGAAAACCAGGGGCTGGGGAGTTGACTCAGTAGAATAAGCAGCTTCCCTGGCAAGTGCAAGGGCCTGAGTTCCATCCTGGTTTAAAAAAAAAAAAAAAAAAAAAAAAAAAATATATATATATATATATATATATATATATCTCCAAAGAATTTTTGAAGTCCTCTTGCTGGGCTCAGAACCAGCTCTGGAGTGGAGGCAGGAGGTGCCAGCATGAATTCAGCTGGTTTAGGCCTGTCACTCTCACTGGAGATGATCAAGCAAATCTAGAGTTTTGCAGGGGATAGGCATCTAGTTGGGTGCTGGATTTGAAGACCTTAAATGTCAAGAAAGCCAAGAATGTCTTTCATTCTGGGCTCCTCCCCCAAGTGGGGGCCACTTAGGAGCTCCCCCACCTCCCTCCTCCCTCACCTTCAGCATCAGAGGCGAGCTGAGCTGCGCACAGGGCACCTGTGCCCTGGTGGCTCGACATCTGCAGTGGGCGGGACTTCATGCAGCACCCACTTCCCTAGCTGCCACCTGACCAGCCAAAGTCCCTACCATGCTGCCCAGGTGGTGCCAGGTCCCTGGGAGCTTCCAGAAGCCTCCAGAAGTAGTGTGGAGAAGGCCAGGGCAGGAACCGCTTTCCCTGCCTTGGAGCCTAACCCAGTGCTTTCTCGGGTTCCAGGTCACCGGTTCACCAAGGTATTTATTGCTTTCTGTTGACTGATGAGGACCTCTGAGACACCAGGGCAGAAGTTGTCCTTTTAAATATAGAAAACCAAAGAATTTTTAAAGTCCCTTTTGAACTTTCATAAAATATATGGTTGTGGGATTTGGTCATCCACGGAGAGCATCATTGAGTTTGAGGTGGTGGGAACCAGTTTTGCAGATGGTATCAGAGGCTGCCGTGCTGGCAGGAAGCTCCCCTTGTTGGCCTCAGTCTTCTCCTTCCTACAGTGGAGGGCCGTATCCCACCTGCCTCCCGCACAGTGCTCGGTGACCCTCCAGGGAAATGGCACCCGAGAGTGCACGGAGAGCCCTGTCATAGGTGTGGTTTGTCGATGGGTCCGCATGCCCACAGGGCAGGTTTGGCTGGCTTGAGTTGTGGGGATCGAACCACAGCAACCTGAGCCTGACTGCTTTGTTGAAGCAGCCACTTAAAGAGCTGAGCTAAGGGGCAGGCCCCCGCATGCCTACAGGGCAGCACAACCTGTTCCCATCCTGACAACCTGTGGTCACAGGGCCTGACCTGTGCCTTCTGGTGCCTTCTGCTTCTGAGCTGGCATCCTAGCCTGCGCCATCTTCCTCCATCCTTGTTGAGTGCCAAGCTGCAGCAGGGGTGGGGCGAGCCACTGTTCTGCTCAGGACAGCTGTCACAGAGCCTTTCATTGCTCTTTTCTGATGGGCAGAGACAGGTGTTGACACCTGCACGTGTCATGGACCTTGCTGGTCACTGGGCATGACAAGATGTGCACCCTGCTCTTGTCACTGGGTGGGGGAAACAGGCACAGTGGCAGATTATTATGACCAAAAGTCACAATAATGAAACTCAGAGAAAGCTTAGAATCCACAGGGTTCTGTCAGCTCTGAGATCCAGCTTGAAAGTTCTACAGACTAAAAATTAATTTTTAAACAATCATAACAAAATGCTGATACCTACCATTGGTATAATTTTTTTGCATCATTTAACACACCTCCTTTGCAAGTACCACAATATGGCTGGGAGAAAAATATTATTTTCTCACTTTATAGATGAAAAACTAAGCTCAAAGTCAGGCAGTTTTCCCCCAAGTCACACAGCCATTCTACAGGTCTCCGCCTCCCCTGCAGAAGCTTTTTCCATGGTGTGGTCCTCTGCAGTGATTCAGGGTCCAGCAGGGAATTGAATGACCTGTGGTCTGAACAGGCTACCAGCCTTTTCTGGGATTCCCTCATCCAAGGGCCATGGCTCTGGCCTGCAGTACTGTGCTTAGGGGGTCTGCATGGGTGGGATTCATAGCGGCTTTGGGTCGGATGGAGTCAGAGAACCCACTTACATGCCAGTGACCCTCTGCCAGGGCCTGGGTTGCGTGTGTCACCTCAGCATCTAGGAAGTAGTTGTGTTTAACAAACACATGTGGCCCAGATAGGCTGGGGACCACTCCAGGGGCAACTGGGTATGCACCTATCTGGGCCAATCAATGTGTTCATCTTTATTGGGTCCTTTCTTCACCCCCTAGCTGTCTCAAAGCATTTTTCTCCATGGAAAATCAAGGGTGGAGGTTCCAGCGCTAATGCCATTGTAACTCCACAGTTGACCACAGGAGAAGCAGGGAGGTCAAGGTGAGGAAAGAATGTATTAGCTTTCCTGTCACTGGACCCAAATACTCAATGCTCACAATTGAAAGGATGAAACGGTTCAACGTGGCTCCCAGCTTGGGGGCTTCTGTTCATGGTTAGCTGGCTCTGAGGCTGAAGGGCACAGCAGAGCTGAGATATTTAGCTCACGCTGGCCTGGAAGCAGAGCAGAACATCAACCAAGAGGAAGGGACAAGGGGCCAGAGACAAACCTGAGGCCACAGCCCTGTGACCCACCCAGACACCCAGAAGTGTGCTTCATTAATCCCTGGGTGGAACCCAAGTCCAATCAGGTTGACACACCCACACCCCTGCAACAAGCACAGGGGCGAAACACTGGACGAAGCCACCCAATAGCTGATGGCTTGGCCACCTCTCTGATGGTAAAGTCAGTGAACCTTCACTCCCACCCTCCCACTGCCCACTGTCAGTCTCTGACTCCCGCTTGCCCATTGTGCAGCTGGTACACAGGGAGGCCAGGGATGCCCTGCCAGGTTAGAGAGCACATGGGGTGGTCCACAGAAGCCCCTCAGGCTGCCTACTCCTCTAGGCCACAAGGAACCCTTGCCCGCTGTGTAGGCCAGACACAACCCAGCCCCCTAGGCAGAGCAGAGCTGGCTGAGAGCCGACAGTGCAGAGGGCACTGCCAACGGCTGCTCCTGAGGCTTGGTTCTAGAAGGAGGGAAGGAACCAAAGAAAGGAAAGGATTTAAGGCTATAGCAGTCCCCATGAGGTCCTCTGAGGTGTCCAGAGCACTATAGGTTAGGGAGGCAGAGGGCCAGTTGGCCCTCACCTTCCATCAGCCTCAGCCTAGAGCCAGCTCGTAGCACCTGTGCCTGGGTGGCTTCGTGACCCTTCTACACAGCCCTCCAACTTTTCCAAGAGCCCTCCACACCCGAGAGAGGTCCTCTGATCACATTGGCCATGTTAGGATTTTTACAGAGGAGGAAACTGAGGCTCAGAGGGCAGACAATGTGGCATGGGGGGCACGGTGTTACACTCGGGTCCCTTTTCTGGCTCTACCCTTTCCTGGCTCACTAAGAGATTGCAGCAAGCTTCACCCTCAGGGCTCGGCCCTGGTTTTCCCAACTGTAAAATGAGACAGCTGGGGGACCCTCCATAGTCTCTGATGCCCTGCTTGGCACTCAGGTCTCCTGCTTCAGGGGATCAGCAACCCCTAATCTGCCAGTGGACGCTCTGTTGTACACATCAAGAGGCACTCAAGCAACTGGTGGTATGCTGCACCTGCAAGGCAGGCACAGTCACCCAGTGAAGGAAGTAGCTTTTCCCACCGTCCCACAGTTAGTTCACGGCTGAGCCAGGGCAAGGCTTTCCCCCTTTGTTCCCTGCAGCCGCTCTGTCCAGGGTGGTAGTCACAGGACCACGGGGTTAAGCATATGAGGCAGGCAAACAATGGCTCTCCAAAGAGGGCCACATGCTAAACCCAGGTCCTGGGAATGTGTGACTACACAGCAAAGGGGACTGGGCACATACTGCACAGGTAGAACCCATGTGATTAGAAGGGGTCATTACAGGGAGAGTAAGGAGGGCCCAGGGCAAAGGAAGCAAAGTGACAGCAGCAGCAGAGAGAGAGACAGAGAAAGGGAGACACAAGATGTGATGACAGAAAGGAAAGTTAGAGTCATACACGTGGAAGATGGAGGATGGTTTATAAGCCACAGAAAGAAGACTAGAAGGACAAAGTTCAGATTCCCCCCCAGACCTTCCAGGGGGCATATGGCCCTGTAGACACCTTGATTTTGTCCCCTGAGTCCCTTCCAGACTTCTGACTCCAGCACTCTAAGACGGTCAACTGTTGCTGTTTTGAATCACTATATTTGTGGTAATGTGCCACAGCCAGCCACAGGCGTCTGACATGGCACTTGAAGTGTGGCCAAATACAGATGTGCTATAAATCTGAAGCACATAACAGATTTTGAAGGCTTCCTCTAAAAGAGAATTTATTTTGTTTGTATTTTGATATGGGTGACATGCTAGCATGATAAAATTTTGATGAATTAAGTACATTACTAAGATTAATTTCACCATTTTTAACATGGCTCTTAGAAAATTTAGAACTAGGTCTGTAATTCTGTTCTATTACCAGTGGACAGCACTCACCAGCTAGTTCTCTGCCTGGTCACAGGGCACAGTAGTCACCAGCCAGCTCTGTTGGTGTTTGGGAAGGGGGCCCTGAGCTGGGAAAAGGGGTCCCCTACCCCGCTACATACATGTGTACACAGCTGCAAGCGGGAGTTCAAGTTGTGGGTGATTGTCCGCATCCCCTCTTCCTCCTCTCCCATCTGCCTCTGGGCCAGCCCACATCCCTGCAAGATGTGCCGGTTATTTTTAGA